GGAGCCGGGGGAGGCGGTGGTGGGGAACGTGCAGATTCCGAAAGCACCTCCGACGCTCTTGAGGAAATACAGGTTGAGACTGCCGTAGTCACCCTTGCGGAGTGCAGTCTTCATGGCAGTCTGGCTGCTGTAGCCGGCCCAGGCGGAGTTAACGGTACGAGTAGTCTCGACCAGGTTGAACTGGATGCCGTGGGGGGCGAAGTTGGAGTTCATCACGGCCAACTGGTCGGTGACCATCTTGTCCTACACGCATATCCCATGTAAGTGACCGTCCTCTGTGAAACGTGCTTAAAGTGAAGCTGGAGAAAGAACATGAAGCTATGAAGCTAAGAGATCTTACGGTGATGTATCCATTGGCCACAGTCTGGGAGGAGGCCACGATGTGGAAGTAGGTAGGAACGGTGATGGTGGCCAGAGCAGCCAGGCTGACAGTACCGTTATTGGCGGCCTCCTCCTCAGCAAGCTTCTTGGAGATCTCGATGTGCTCGGCGGACGGCTCCTCGGTGGCACAGCCGAATCTAACGGCGGGGGTGACCGCGGCAGAAACGGAGGCGGCAAGAGCCGCGACGAGGGCGAGGTTGAAGTGCATATTGACAAGAGTGAGCCGGGGACCGGGGAGCGAACAGGCGACTTGGATAGGAGTTGCGAGACTGAGAGGGATGTCGAGCTAAGAAGGGGAACCTTGATGGCAAGAGATCTAGGCTATATATACTCGATCCTAAGTCTCTCTTGATGTAAGTCATCTTGTCGTTGTTGGGCTTCTATTCTCGGGGCTCTGAAAGTTGCTTGGTACGTTGCAGCGAGCTGAATCGGCTTGGAACGATCCCCTAACAGGAAGCCCAATGACAACTGTACTACAAAAGTAAAAAGGCGCGTCAGCTGATAGAAGGAAACCGGAAACGAGCCCGAGACTTGTCTTTCCATTGCTTCATACGCCTTCCTCATCTGGCTGATACCAAGACTCAGTTGCAGCTGAGGTTGAGTCGGGGTTTCCCAAAAAGCACCCGTGGAAACCGCGGGGTTCGATATCTGCTACCTTCTCTGTTCTGTGGTCAAGTTAGTATTATTGATAGCCAAGCGAGAGAGAGTCAGATTAGTGTGGGGACTTGTCCTGTGGCCCGGCAGAGGTTCTCTCCTTGCATGAAGCGATCAGGCTGAGGGGGACAATATGCTCGTCGTGATACGGTCGGGCGCCGGCTTCGACCGATAAGCTTAAATTGATCTGTTGATCAACCTGGCCTTCATGAGGGGCCGGGCGGAAGACGTGGGATGAGTCTTGGTGTTGGTCGAATGGCAGACAAGCTTCACAACTAGCGCTAGCGGTGTGTGGTTGCACTGTATTAATTCAACTGCTTGTTACTGCTAGTATGCCAAGCGCTGCCAAGACGGCCTTTCGTCCAACTGTAGAAGCACGATAGAACCTGCCTATTTAAGCAATAACTTGGGTAACACTGATGACTGAGCTTGCTTCTTCCACTATCGGCCGTTGGTGCAGGGAACGGGACGAAAACTAATCAATGTCTCGGGGTAACTATGATGGTATTGATTTCCGCGTATCAGGCTGAAGCAGAGCGACTGCTTGCCCTAAAATGGAGCTGCTTGCAGGAAGATAAAAGGACGTGGTTCTCGATGGTTTCCCGTTGAATCATAAGAGAAATGGACGGCTTAGCAGGTGTCTCCTTCGCATATGCGGCGTCCTAGCCGAACAAGGTTGGAAGATATGCGATACGAGGGAATTGATTGCCGTAGGGAGTGGAGGCATCGTAACTCCTCATTGGCTCCTCAGTGTGTGGTGCTCGATTGTATATTCCGTAAACCCCTTAACTGGCACAGCATTCGCTATTATACCGCGCTCACGGATTTTTGGTTATTCTGTGTGCAACTGAGTTATCAACATGTCTCTTCGTTGAGTCGTTACATTGCTGGTTCCGCAAAGATTGTGGTGACAGCCTCGCCTACATGATGCCGCCATAGTTACACAAGCTACGACTACCCGGCTTGGTACCCGTTTCATCTTCATAATCTGGCTTCCAAGTCCCATAGCTCATGACGTTATTCCCTATGATTAGCTTGGGGGCACCCATCCTAGCTCCTCCATCGGCCACTGGATCCAAGGCTTGTGGCTCTCATCTAGCAACTCCCACGCCTGTGATATAAGATGAATCGACCAGCCTTGAAGCCACCACTGACTCTCTAATCTCTTTAGCACAACACAAAAGTGGGCATAAATAACAATGGCCTCTTGATTCGCCCTCGGCTCTTTAAGTAAAGGTAGGAACTCATCCGACACGAAGTATTTCCAGATGAACATGTCCATGATGTCCATACCACGGCCTCCACTGTGCAGAGCAAGAGAAAGAGGGTAACCTAATTCGTCAATGGCCAAATTGTGGATGCGTAGCAATTCTTTGTCAATATTGCTGCTGCTGACACGCTTTCGTAGACTTTCCAAGGCGGCTGGTCGAACTCGCAAGTCATCACGCGCAGTAAAGAATCGTTCTTTTGCGTATGTCAACAGAGGGGTCAAGGGACCCTCGTAGTTTTTCGAATTGAGGAGTTTGATGAGAGAACAAGCTCCGGATAGGAGGAATGTCCAGTCCGGGAACGCGGATTCCCAGACAACCACTGATTCCTTCAGATAGCGTCCCGATGCCAGAGCTGAGTTTCGTAAGCAAGCGTACTGCCCGTGCAGGCGAAATCTCGAATTGACTACAAGATAGGAAGGGGAAAACGAGGTGCAACAATTCATTTCGTGATACAATCACGTAGTGATCACTTACCAAAAAATATTGTAAGAAGTGAAAACAAGAACAAGTTCTCGGCATTTCGTTCATCAAGAGCGCTCATCAACTCCATTGCTTCTCTTGAGGCTGATCGATGATAAAGCAGCGCCTTAGCCACGAGAGCCTCCTTTCGTTCTGGCCGCTGGTGGGCTAGATGTAGAGCCGATATGGAGAGCAAAGTTCGCATGACATACTCGCATTTAAGCGCCATGCGGACTACCGAGACTCGCCACATCTGGCGGACGAGGTCATCTGTTGATAGTGTCATGAATACGGCGGTAGTGAAGTTGTGGATCAGCTCCAAATCGACAAAGTTTAGGGCTTGGTCGATAGCTGGCGCCGGTCTGATAGATGTCTCTGGGTCGTCTGCGCTTCTGGCGTCAAGGCTTGTTTGCAAGGTGATTTGCATGCTGCGCATCGATATCGCCATCGAGCGACTTTGCAGGAAGTCGCACGTCACCAGGTGACGCACGCAGTTTTGACATGCTGGCTTCAGTTCGTCACACTATGGAAAGCCAGCATTAGCAGGTAAAGCAGTGTCAAGGATATGAGGTGCGCGAATGGGTCATATTGTGTGAATTCGGCCGAGGTGTTGTGGTCTGGTGTATGGACGATACTAAGCCCAGTAGGGCCCAAGGATCCATCACTAAAAGAAGAGATGGCGTGCAGGGTAGCAGTATATCATCAGACGAACCTTGATTTTACGTCTTTTGCAAGTGTGGCATCCAAGCTTGGATTTTCTGTGCGGTTTCTTCGAAATTTTGGCTGCGATCCTCCGCTCCGGAAGGACCTCCATCCCGTCCGATGCTCCTTGACACTTCCGTGCCGGATATGGGCCTGGTTCTTATCCGAAGTCGCGGACGAACCCCTGGAAGCACCTATGTGATGTTACCGGAAAGAGAGGTGAGATCTACCGGCAGCAGACACACCCACTCAGCAGGTTTTCTATAGATCTCGAGTTTATGATCCAAGATTGGCGGGAAGTCGGAAGGGCGGGGAGTTCAAGATTCCGAGCCTCCATTCGCTGATGCTGACGTTGACGCCGGCCGAAGAAATGGGTGGACGGTGTTTAAAGCCGATGGAGCTCCGCGAGGCAGTGCTCGTATCGTTCGCATAGCAACCAAGACTTCGGAAGCCAAGCCGAATGCGGAGTTGTGCCACTTGACACATCGAGATTAAGACCTTCACTGAGACTCGAAGACTAAGAGTGGAACTAAAACTCGATAATCCCAATTTGGCCTACAATGATAGCTTATACTGAGTTGTAGCCTACGAATAATCAATTTTTGTGTTCTCTAGAAATCTGTCGGCGATCTAGAAAGCCGAACCCGTGGATACTATTTTTTCGTATCCTTACTGAGGTAAACATATGAATGTCGGCCGACTATCATTCCCCCCGTAAGATGCCACCACTTAACTTTCCTTCAACTTAATTGCTATCACAGCTTCAAGGCTCAATAATGACTTCCCAATTTACCATGTATTTACCACGACCAAACTCATATGCATTTCTTAGAGACCATCTCATGCCCAGGCACCTTTGTCCCACACCCTTCAGAACTCAAGGAGAATGAAGTGGAGTTCTCTGGACTCCTGGGACTCCGCACGAAAATGAATGAAAGAGCTTTACGAGCCATATGTGAATTGATAGCACAGTATTTTGAGTGTATATACCCTAATACGAGTCCATAAAGATGGGAGTGTCAAGTTACGGGTGAGGAACGAGGGTTTGCGGGTGCAAGCCGCGTAGCCGTCCGGTACTGCCCGTGCCACTCGCCAAATGCTATTCCATGCAGCCAGTCCCTGTCACCGGACGTGCCAGGGTCGAGATGCAGAATCGAGAGCATGTTCACAACCAACATGCATTTGTTGTCTGACAAGAAGAGGGGAAGGGCGAAGGGCAACTCTTGATGGGGGTAAATCCCCGAGGTCAGAGAGCAATGGTATGATGCGAGATGCAGGTTGACTCCTATATCTTCAGCGCAACGCCCCCACCAACTTGATAAAGCCCGCGCCTTCGGCATCCCAGAGGCTCGCAATATTCAGCTCTTTGGCGGTTCAGCACAGCCATGGCAGTTAATAACGATGATGTACTGGCGGCCAATGAGGTAGGATGATATGTAAACGTTCAGCCATCTATGCCGATACTATTAATTCTTTGTCTCCTTTACAGAATGTCAACGATAATTCCTCCGTGAGCCATGTAAGCCAGCGTCCATGCTTATTTCCTCATCAGCGTGTTTGTCATGGAACTCATTCATAATCGAACAGCAAAGTCTCGCTTCATCGACAACAAGCGTAGCCAGCTCAATTCTCGAGTACCGCATCGAGAACGGCCGGACGTATCACAAATACAAAGACGGAAGTAAGCTCTCGGACGCAACTAATTTCATGCTGCAGCATCACTCACAAGACAAGAGTATAATCTGCCCAACGACGGTAAAGAAATCAATCGACTCGGTAAGGCTCTCCCTCAAAACAACACATCGAGGTCAAGTTCTAGGTACTGATTAGCACGCGGGGGAATAGATCTACAGCACAACCTTTTCATCCGGACCTTCGACGACAGACTAGGAACCGCACCACCCAACGCACGAGACTCTAACGTCAGGAGGGTCTTGGACGTGGGCACCGGTTCGGGTATTTGGGCAATCGACTTTGGTGATGAGCATCCCGATGCCGAGGCAAGTCGTAGACTGGGTCACGGAACGAGGTCTTATAGATAATAACCGCTCAATGTGCAGCAGCGCTTATACCCATACAAATAAATCAAATATAAGGTTCGTATTTAATTATTTAGCTCATTTCTCGCGCTATATTTAATTATTTAATAATTAATTAATAGATTTAACTAATTTCCTAATTAGGAATTAAATAAAGCTATTACGAAAGTCCTTATAGTACTAACTTATAGACTTTACCTCGATTAGCTCTTCTAATTAAAAAATTAACCTCCTATTTTTATAGTACTACTATAAAGCTAGTTCTTAAAATATTAAACTTCTTTTAGTATAAAAAATCTTATTAATAATCGCTATAAGATTAAAGTTAACTTTATAAAACTAAATATCCTCTCGTAGTTTATTACTATTATAGGGATTATAAAAATATTAAGTATAAGCTTATTTAATATTAAATAAGTTAGCTAATAGTTAATTTATTATTAAATTAAGTTAAGGACCGGCTAAAGGATAATCTATAAGTAATATTAATTAAGCTTAGGCACGTAGTTAATTATTACGTTTATTATTTAAAATATTAACTATTACTAATATTACGAGTTTTTTATAATACTCTTTAGAATTATAAAGGTATTAAAAATAGCTTATAACTATTATAATAAAAAAGGAGGATTTAGATAATAAAAAAGAGGAGGACTTATTATCTCGTTTATATATTATTTTTATTAGTAATTATAAAATCCTTTTTTTATATTAAATAGCTAGTAGCTCTATTTAGGCATATCTTACCTCTTTTCTAGCTATTTTAATCCTTACTTAGAGTAAAGAATAATTATTATAGTATAGAGCGGAGAGTTATTTAATTTAATATAATACTTATTAAGGATTTGCTAAGTATTAATAACTAATAATTAGAAATATCCTTATAAGTTAAAATTATTATTAAAAAGTAGCTTTACTCGCTCTTTAAGTATATATTTAGACTAAATATAATAAGGGATACTATTTAAAATTAGAAATTAAAAAAGAGGTTAAAATATAAATTAATAACGAGCTAATTATTAACGAGGTAGTATTATTTACGTTAATTACGATTATAACGCTACGATTTAAGAAGCTATAAGATCTATTTCTTTTTTAAAAAGTTTATTATATAACTTCTTTTACTTCTTAAAACGGTTAATAAAATACTTAAGACCTACTATTACTTTTTATAAACGGCTATAACCGTTTTTTTACCCTAGCCCTAATATCTTATTATTTAAAAATAAAATAGTTTAAGTACTATTTTTAGCTTAATTAGTAATTACTAGTTATTATTATTAAGAACGTCCTTAATAAGGATCCGTTATTTTAAATCTTTATAAACTTAACTAGTTATTAAAAAAGTATAAATTTTTTTTTTTTATAAAGAGCGCTATATTATAAAGTATATTGAATTCTATTTTATATTATTATTAAGTATTAATATAAGCTCTTATAACGACTCTTTAAAAAGAGTAAATATATCGTTTTTATTAGTTTTATTACTAACCTCGAAGAAGGCCTTATATTATTAAAATAATAAGTAAATAAATTTAATAACGTTCCGAAGCTTATTAATAAGGCCCTTTATATACTAAAGGTTAAGATCTTTTTAAAGTTACTTAGTATTAATTAATATATTTAATTCTTATTTAAATACTTTTTTATTATTATTAAATAAAAAGGCCTTACTAACGAAGTTAAGAATATAACTATAGTACCTTATTCTTTAATTAAAAATATCTTCTTAGGTATAAGTATAAAATAATATAGAATATAAGTACCTTAGGTAAGTGTCGTTATTTAAAGTATTATTATAAATAACTATTCTGAGTTAGTTACCTAATTCCTAGTTTTTTATTATTAATTTTATAATCTAAGTAATATTAGCCCTATTATAAGTACTATATTATTATTATAAAGTAATAAGGTATTATATTTATTATTTAATATAGTTTAAAAAATAAATAAAAATAGTAATAATAGTATTCCACATTAGCGAGGTTTATAAATTAAATAATAAGTAGATTTTTATTATTAACTTCCAGATCTCTACCCTAATTATATTTTTCTTTTTAATAAAGATCCTACTTAGCTCCTTTTTTATATTTTTATATAATAATAAGAGTTTATTAGTAATATTATAATTTAATTAATAAAAGAGGGCCCGGAAGTAAGGATTATAAAAAGTTATAAATAAGCTATTATTATTAATAATATATTTAATTACTAATTCCTTAATTCTTATTACTTAGCCCTTCGTAATAATACTAAAAATAAGTTTCTATTTTTTTAGTATAAAGTTATATTTAAAGGATTTTAATAAATATAATAACTTATTAGAGCTTAGATTTATTATTTAGTATTTTAATTTTAAATAAACTATTACTAAGCTCGTAATTACTATTTTAAAGTAAGTAATAATACCTATTTTGTTATAATAATAATAAAATTAGAAGACTTTACCTCGAATATTTCTATTATAAATCTTTTAAACAAAAACCCCCTCTAAACGGATTTATAACTTCCTTAGCCTTATACCCTTTTATAATATTAAATCGTTATTAATAAAAGTCCTCCCTTTTTAAATTATTTTTGGAAAGGTAAGGAGGTTATTACAATTATTAAAATTAGTTAATAATACGAGGCTAGTATTAATTAAGGTTTATAACTACGAAATAATCTAAAATAATAACTACGTACTAAAAATCGTATAACTTATTACTAATTAATTAATTATAATATAATAAATTAATTAATATATAATTTAATTAATTTTAATAATAATTATAGTAGTTATAAAAGGTTAGAAATAGTAATACGTAACTTCGTTAGTTTTATTAATATTAAAAAAAGGGAGTATTATAAGTTTTTTAGATTCCTAAATATAGTAAGATACTAAATCTAGCGCTCTATACTATTTAAGCTTTTTTTTTTTATAATAATTATTAATAATCTATTTAATTAAGTAGTATAATACTAAACTTATAATTATAAATAAGGAGTCGTAAGTTCGAATCCCGCTCTAAGTATTTATATTCTTAATTATAAACTTTTATAGGGTATAGTTAAGAATATTAATTTTTAATTAGCCCGGCCCCGGATTTTCTTTTTTCTAAGCGACCTTATATTTAATTAAATATATTAAATATAGGGCCTTATAATATTTAATTATTTAACTAGCTAAAATTCCTATATTTAACTATTTGTTTGACTTATTTGTTTGATTAATTTGAATAGGTATAAGCGCTGATGCGCAGGTCATTGGCGTCGACCTATCAGCTGTTCAGCCAACATTGTATGAGCCTCCCTAAGTCCACACCAACTATCATGTCTCTGATGCGAAAACTGACGTTGCACTACAGCGTGCCGCCAAATGTGCAGTTCCAGGTCGAAGATATCGAAGAGGACTGGCACTTCTCGCTGCCCTTTGACTACATCCACAGCCGAATGATGACGGGTAGCATAGTAGACTGGAAGATCTATCTCCGCCGTTGCTTCGAGTGAGTTCTGCCCACATCTTCCTTCCTACAAACACGCACAAAGCATCTCCGCCGTCTAACACACGTAACTCTCGCAGCAACCTCAACTCAGGAGGTTACCTCGAACTCAACGACATTGATGCAATCCCCCTCTCCGATGACGGCACCCTCACCGAGGAATGCACCCTTAAGAAGAGCTTCAGCCTCTGGTCCGAAGCTATCGCGATCCTCGGGTCCCCGTTCGAGAAGTTTAACCGCCTAGAAGGCGTCCTGGCCGAGGTCGGGTTCGAGGACGTTCGCGTTGAGCGGTTCAAGTGGCCGACGAATAGCTGGCCAAAAGACCCCAAGTTCAGGGAGCTGGGGATCTGGAATCATGAAAATATTGCGCCGCACTTGGAGGGCATGTTCATGGCTGGGATTACCCGCGGATTGAAATGGACCGAGCAGGAAGTTCACGAACTTGCTGTCAAGGCGCGAAAGGACTTTGATGATACGAGCATACATGCTTACTTCCAGATGTAAGTGAGCTCTCTTGATAGCGTGATATTTGTATGACTAACTTTGATAGCTGGTCTATCTATGGGAAGAAGCCCGTGAAGGCTTGAGGATTCAACTTACAATGAACTAGAAGTCTCATTTCTCTACGGGTGTCGAATATAAAACGTGGGCTCCAACATGAGAAAATCTTCTTGGACCTAGAATTGTTCTCTCTCCTTGTGTGCGGGTGCGGTGATCTCAACTTGGAGAAAAAGTTGGCTTCGATTTCGTTTTGCTCAACATAGATAGCCACCATCGCAACCTCGGTGTGTGGGCTTTCTAACATTAGGTTTGGTATCTACGCCGCACAGGCGCATAGTCGCATGCATTTGTTCCTAGTTGCAGGGGTGATATGCACAACCACGACCAACCAAGGGGTGACATCGAACATTACATTTTCTTGTCTACCCTAGCGGAAGAGGGGTAGCAATGGAGAGCAGATATTGCATGCTACCTTGCCGAATGAACCGATACTCACTCGCTCCCGCTTCTTCAGTGGAACCTCTTCCCACTTCCTCGTTGGAACCCCACGGAATTCTTCAACACATAGCAAAATCACTCTTATCTCTAGAATCCATCAGGCCATCCCACTACCAGAGACATAAGTCATATCATGCAAACAACGAATGATGAACATCTGGCGGCTGACGAGGTATGATTTCTCGCGACCTTTCAAGTGCTCGAAAAGGTGTAGAGATTCCATATTCTGAGACTGTATTCCCTTCCAGACTGACACCGATGGCTCATCGGTGAGCAATGTAAGCAACTACTACGCCTTACTACTGATCCCTCAGCAATATACACTCTGAACTCATCTTTGCTTCAACAGGCAAGCCTGGCTTCGTCTACAACGAGTGTGACCAGTTCTATTCTGGAGTATCGTATTGAAAATGGGCGAACCTACCACAAGTATAAGGACGGCAGTGAGTTTGAAGTCTCCGCAAAGAGTGGAACAATCAGGCAATATGCTTATGATCTTACCAGAGTACGCCGCCCCTAACGACGAGAGAGAAAGTGATCGCCTTGGTACGTCATCTGCTCATTAGACTGATGCTATTAGTACATGCCTCCAGTTTAACGAGAATGAGACTGATACGACCGCATCAGACCTTCAACACAATTTGTTCATCCGGACGTTTGATGATCGACTCGGTAGTGCGCCACCAAACGATCGAGACGCAAAGGTCGGCAGAGTTCTCGACATCGGCACCGGATCCGGAATCTGGGCCATTGACTTTGGCGACGAACACCCAGAATCCGAGGTAGGAGGACTTATCTTCTCAGTATCAGTAAGAGAATTCACACAAGCTAATTTCTTTTACAGGTCATTGGTGTTGATCTATCGGCGATACAGCCTCTATTGTAGGAAGAAGGGCACTTCCTCCAAGTGAAGCTCTCAGCTGACGAGTGCATTTCAGCGTGCCACCGAATGTGCAGTTCGAAATTGACGACATCGAGGAGCCGTGGCTGTTCTCGAGGCCTTTCGATTACATCCATAGTCGCATGATGACGGGCAGCATCAGAAACTGGAGACGATTCCTCCAGAACTGCTTCGAGTGAGCCCCACGTCTCTCTTGGACAGTTGTGAACGCTGAGAAATGATCCTAGTAACCTCAACCCCGGCGGCTACCTTGAGCTCAACGACATCGACGCCGTACCCGTCTCAGACGACGGGACCCTCACGGAGGACACCTCGCTGATGAAAAGCGTTCGTCTCTGCTGCGAAGCGATCGCCAAGTTAGGGGTGCCCTACGAGCATTTCAGCCGTTTCGAGGGCGTTCTCAAGGAGATTGGCTTCGAAGACGTGCACATCCAGCGATTCAAATGGCCCACCAACAGTTGGCCCAAGGATAAGAAGCACAAGGAGATTGGAATTTGGAACTACGAGAACTTTGCTCCTAATTGGGAGGGCTTTCTTATGGCGCCGCTGACCCGAGCTCTCGACTGGACGAAAGAAGAGGTCATTATCCTCGCCATGGAGGCTCGGAAAGACTTTGCGAACAGGAACATTCATGCTTACTATAACATGTGGGTTATTCTTACTATCCGGCTTATCATTGAGCTAACTTGAGCAGTTGGTCTATCCATGGAAGGAAGCCAATGACGACTACATAGGTCTAGCCATCTGTTGAATAGTCCCTGAACGTAGACTGTTGGTGTCGTGTCGAATGGATGATGACTGTGTTTTTGAAATAGCTCAAGGTGACAAATGTCTATTGACTGAGAATTCGTGGCGCAAGGTAGAGTAGTTAAAAGATGGCGTTGAAATCAGGGGCTAGATCGCATTTCTCGTTCACTTGGGGCGATGAGCTAGATCCATCCTACTCAGGGTTCTCAATAAGCTTTCGTTCCGACAGGAACATACCAGTTTAGCCTTGGTGCAACTTTCGTCCTCGAATCATAGATTAGAACTCCTAGTAGCCTCTATCAATACCGGTGATGGACTCATATTTTCGACTAGACGTATGACCCATCAACGAATCCTCTCCCATAGAGCAAAATATCCTCAAACGGATTACTCGCCCTCAAGACTCTCCTCCTAGGGCTCCCCCGATCAACGCAACTAACATATCCGGCCGAAGTCTCATTAAACCTTTGCCGCCCCCTCGCAACGACCCGGAACTCAGGCACCAGCGGACCCAACCTCTCCAGCTGTCCACCGCCCTCCCGCGATTCAACCTCCACCCCGTCCTCCCACGCCCAGAACCCGTCTTCGGCGTCACAGGGGAAATCAATAGTCAAGCGGGCCGCGACGGATGGCGGTACACAGTTGTACAGCTCGCGGAACTCGGGCAGCAGGCGACGTGTGACGGGGCAGTCGGCGTCGAGCCAGAGGTAGATGCTCTCCGCCTGGCACGATTCCTGCTCGGAGAGTATGTGCCACATGGAGGCGCCGTTGAGGTAAAGAAAATTGCCGCTGTCGTGGCGGAGGGAGATGTTGAGGCGGCGAGCTTGATGGAGGTACCTGGGACGGGGCCAGCGGAGAATGCGGTGGAGGGTTTGACCGTCGGTTATTGTTAGGGTTTTGGCTTCCCTAAAGGACTCTATGCTTTCGCCGTATCTAATGGGAGCCATGATTAGTGGACTGCTCGTCGGGGCAGGGAGAGGAGGGTAAGCTCACATCCGCTTACAGGACAGGAGAAGAGACATGTAAGCTTGCTTCTTGTTCCCGTCTATTTCGCGTCCGTCTCGTATGTCCTCCCATAACCTCTCGCATTTCCAGTGATTACACCAAGGAGACGTCATCCTTTTGAACCATTTCGGATGAGGCTGGACCTCCGCTGTGGAAGAGGACTTTTGGAAGTCTTTGGCAACCCCGATTTGACGCTCATCAGGCGCTTCATGATCTGTGATACAGGGAGAGAACAAGAGTTTCCTATTTCGTAGAAAAGCATGTCGCTCGACCCCGGCCGAGACCCAGAAATGTCTATATATCTGATGCCGGATTTCGGGGGGTAGCTGCCGAAAGAAGGTCGACTGGCCCTGGTGATGCTCTTTCCTCGGTGCATTTGAACTCGCTTGTTGCATAAACTCTTCGTCGGCGGGGGTTTCGTTCAAGTTGTTTCCATCGCAGCTGACTTCTTCCCTTATAGGTTCCTCTGCTATGGGCCGGTCCAAGGTCATACAATCCTCCTCTATAGTTTTCGTCGTGAACAGAGATGACGTTGAGAACGATGACCTGAACGATGATCTGCTAGCCAAAGATCTTCCGCTAGTACTTGACTTGTCGTCAGGCCGTGACTTTTCTCTCATTGAAGCTTTTCTGAGAACCCGCAGGCACTTCTGAGAGGCTCTATGTAAGAGACTTGGCTGATCCATAGCCTCATCAAGATTCGTAGTCTTGGTTTCGAGCGTCATCTTGGTGGTCTGCTGTACAGTATGGAGTTGAGGGATCAAGAGAGGTCGAAGAGTTGTCGTCGTTTCAAGAGTCTTGATTCTCAACAAGAGAGTGCGGAGAGACGCAGGAAGAGGACGTGAGGACAGGCAAGGCAAGGGTATCACTGGGGGGCTAAGAGGGAAGCCAGACCAGATATAGATGGGTTGTTTGCTTCGCAGTGTCTCGGATAGCTACTTGCACCCTCGAGGCAAGCCGTATGGGACCAATCAAGGCTGTGGGATGTTCAACTGACCCGGTAACTTGGTAAAGAAGCCCTCGCCTTCGCCCAACCAGAGTTGCAGTTTTGGGAATTCGAGCAAACTTGACGGGGATGTTGCGGAGAGGGAAAAGGAACAAACACGCCTTGCACATTACCCATGGGCCATGGCACGCCCCATCTCTCCCCCTCCATAAAGAAAGATGCGCCGATTCGTACATAAAAAGCAAGGATAATCAAAGATTGCCCAGGCTCTTCCTAACAAAAAGAGCCCACTCTCTGAGTGCGACCGGTTCTTCCTTGTGATGGGGTTGGGCGGACTGAATGCGGCGTATGCGATAATGCGGCACATGGGGTCCATCTTGTCCCATATTGGGGAGCTCGTCTCCAAAGACCCAAGTTCCAACAGATAGAAAAGGGAAAAAAGTTACAACCAACGAACCAACCAGCCCAACCAGATCCAAACAAAATTGGTACCGAAAGGGAGAGTCTCCGCTGTCTGTCGCACATTCGTTTCCATGCGCACACAGGGCACATTGAGACCGCGCAGCTGCCATCTCGCTGCAGGCGCTGTCACAGCGATAGGATCGCGTACCTTGTTGACGAAAGGGGGCGAGCTGGCGCGGGATTCATTGCGGATCGCTTCCCGTGGTGAGACAAAGATCATCGGTTGTGTTCGCTTCGCCTCTCTAGTCCTTGAGACTTGACGACCGTGACGACTTGCTCAACTCGCGAACTCATGGTTGGCGTCACCGCGAAGTCGGGGGCGAGACCGTGCCCCCCTTGAAGCCCACAAATCGCGCCCACTTATAAGCCAGGTCACCTGTAGCTTCTTATGTCGAGATACTAGGCAACGGAATAGCTGTGAGTCTGCAGCTATCTTCACAGCTCAGAAGGTGGCCAGTACTATCGAATCATATGAGTGAGTGATGCTCGTCGGCGAATGTGACAATTTTGCCCGGGAATGAGGCGCCGAAACAGGCAAGAAATGTCTTGGTTCGGCCTGGGTGATCCCGCGCCTCGTGAGCATGACACAGCCGTGTGTGTATGTGTGTGTGTGTCTCGCGGATAGAAATCGCATGGTTTTCCGCCCTCGACATTCCTGGATCTAAGCGAGTTCAAAGGGCAACGGCCTTGCGTGCAGCTGCAACTTGGAAGCCAATACCTCTGGTAAGATCACGCCCGTTGCATGTGCAGGCTGCATGGCGTCAAGCTGTCATTGCCACCTCGCCGTTGGCACATGCGGATATAGATGTGTGAATACTCCGTGCACTGGAGTAGGTAGTTGACGATGAGCCGCCGTCAGACCGTTGAAAGGCTTGGCCCTGCCCATGGCGGCCCCGAAGGCGTTCAAGGGAATCGACTATTGGCCCGGCTCCCGTCGACAGCGTTCTTTTCTCCTCAGTATCCGTCGACTTCCCATGTCCTCTCGACGCAACCGCGTCAAGTGGACCATTCGATACAGCGTACACCCTCTGTGACCTTGGCCTCCTGAGTCCTGGGGACCTAGGCTTAGGCTGCCTTGCCCCGGGGAACTGGGGGAGGGCCGCCCGGTCGACGGGCTGCCCGATGTGGTGAAGTGCAGGGCATCGAGGCTTATCCTTGACCACAGCTCCGCCCGGCCGCGTCGACATGCGTGGAGTGCACTGGAGACCACTGGGGACAGAAAGCGCCCAGAGGATCGAATGGGTCGAGACAGCCCAACGACCCGTGCATTGGTTTGCTGCAAGTTGGCGATGGGCAGGCCGTATTGAGTGCTTGTTGGAAGTCTGCATATTGGAAAGGGCCAAGTCTCGGTTTATGGTTAGTCTGCCCTTCTTCAGACGGCTGAGGGCGTCGTATCGTGAAAACTGCATGGGTCGTTGAGCCACAGCTCCTCGCCGTCTCCCCGTCGTGAACATGTGTCCATCCTTTGTGTCTGGGAAAGAAAGTCCGATTGTGATCAACAGGCTGCTTGACACAGCAGTGGACTCGCATGAGGCCATTCAGGCAATATCTCTGGAGCCAGAGCGTCTAGGAAATTGCTGGCGTGACTGGGTCATGGATGCTTCATGTATGCAGGCGGCAGGTCCTTGTCTGCTAGTTGGTTGCAGCACAAGTCACATATCAGCAGGCCGTCTATGCCGAGCCCAGATCGAGCCAAGATGTGACCAGGGAAGAGCAGTGCCAGATGGCGATGGTAGCGTGACAGTCCAGGACCCTGAAAGATGCATTGCTGAGGTCGGATGAACCCCTTGAACTCTGATCCGAGGTCTCATCATGGTGCTCTCTGAATGAGACAATTCGTACGCGCAAGATGGGTCTTGCTGAGTGGCATGAAGTGAGAAGTTCGAGGAAAAGCCATAGAGCTATGGTTTCCCCGACCGCTGAGCCCATTGTGATGACACATTAATGGAAAGTCGGCAGGGAGGTTGGGAAGGGTGGTCAAACGTCAAGATGAAGGGATCACAAGACGCAGCAAGGAAAAGCAATGGCAGTTACACGGCACTTACAGGGCAAGCGGAAGTATTTCGTACCGTTCGGGGCGAGTTTTCCGAGCTGACCTAAGCAACACCGTTTTTGGGTCTTGTCAATTGAGTTTACCTTCCCGTCGCCTGGGACGAGCGTTATCAGGTACCATTAGGTAACACCAGAGCCCGGGATACAGCGACCTTCAGCGCCGGGTATCGACAGTCTTAGCAAAGACGCGCTGTAACACTGGACCGCGATTGGCGACAGCCGTTGCTGGTACCTTATCGACAGTTTGGGACTGACTCGGGCAATCAGATAACGATAAGACATGAGAGTTGAGGGAACAGAACACCAGACGAAAGAAAAGGCGGGGGGCAATTGGCAGCTGCAAGCACTGAAAAGCGATGCAACGAAAAGCTTGGCTGCCCAAAAGTTGCAGGCGAACGCTTCGTCCAAGCGCGCACCTCGAAGGGAAGAAAAAACAAGACTAAAACAAAACACCTTGACTTCCCCCATCCCCGTCGAC